CATTTGGGATGAGAAAAATGTGCATATTTGATATTGTCACTAAAACCAACCTGTCTGTCTAATGGTAGCAGCAAAAGAACTGGCCAGCTGACACTGACACGTGAAGCGTGTGATGGCAGCAGGCGGCTGATCCTGCCCTTTGGTTCATCATCAGGCTGTAAATTTGTTGGGACACGTTTCTAAGTTGTCCACTGTGGCAGCTGTTCCTCTTTGCCAGCTCTGCTGCTAAAGTCTGGGCAGAACATCAGAGCGCAGGCGTGTGCGTCAGGGCATTGAGTGCAGAGAAACCACTCGCACTACTGCAGTCTTCCGCTCAGGGCTTTGTGTCATTATGCAAGGCTTCTACTTTAGACCGCCATCAGCACCAAGCTGACAAATGCACACACAAACTGAGCAGAAGTGTCGAGAGGAAAACTTCATTCGCTGCCTAAACAAATGAACCCTGCACAATGACACAAAACACAAAGGGAAGAGGCTTTTTGCTCACTCTCACCAGAAACGCAGTCTGCATGCTACACTTCTCACTCCCTCCTCCTGTCCTTACTCTCCTTCCTTCTAACCACTGTAGTTTGGAAAACAATACATGACCATTTTAAGAGGTCATTTATTTATCTATGTATTTCATATTCTTTTTTTAATCCTTAAAACTAAATTTGTATTACTGCTGTATTGCTACATAATTAATGACAGTTACAAAACGAATTGCATTCAATAAGTTCCAGTCCAGCTCAAACTTCTCACTTTTTTCCATTTGTTTTGATGTCAAGACTGCATACACAGCACTAATAATAATAATAATAATAATAATAAATATTGCTACTATTATTATTATTAATAATATATTTTTTATTGTTGTTTATAATAATAACAATAATAATAATAATAATAATAATAATAAATTATTATTATTATTATTATTATTATTATTATTATTTATATAGCACTTCTCATGCTGGTGGCAGCTCAAAGGAGATAAAGCTTAACAGTAATACAAGAAATTATAAGTCCTAATTTGGAATAATATAAGAAAACGACACAGATCAAATTAAAGATCAATACCAAGAGACATAAAGTTCTAATGAAATGCTGAGTTAAAGAGATAAATTAAAAGTGAGCACTGAGCTTGACTGTCTAATAAAAGGTGAACTGAGCTCCACAGTTTAGAAGCAGAATAACTGAACGAGTCTCTCCATGTTTTCTGTATTTTACAGAAGGTGTTCAGAAGGTCAGTATCTGCAGATCTAAGATTCACGTGCTGGAACATAAACAGACAGACACTCCGTGAAGTAAGCAGAGCTTTAAGGTCATTTAGAGCCTTAAAAACTAGTAGCAGAACTTTAAAATCTATCCTGAGTGATACAGACAGCCAGTGCAGCTCTTTCTAAACAGGAGTGATCTGATCTCTCTGTCTGGTTTTTGTTAGCATGCTGATGCATTTTGTACGAGTTGTAAAGGGTGTACTGTTTTCTTAGGAAGTTCTGTAAGAAGATCGTTACGGTGATCGACTCTGCTTGTAACAAATGCATAAATAAGTTTCTCTGTGTTGCTCTGAGATAGAAAACTGAAGTTTAGCGATATTTCTCAAATGATAAAACGCTTTAGTCACTGTGTATACATGCGGTTTAAAAGCTCAGAGTCTAAGATCACACTCAGGTCTCGTACTTCAGGTTTGGTATATGAAGCTAAAGAAACACTAATTTCTCAAAAAATTCAAATCAGAATACAACAACTCCTCTTCAGTGTCATTAGCAACTGACCGTTAACCAGAAACCCTATAATCAAGGATATGGCCTATCAAATTAAAACAGACAGCTCCGGTTCTTAAATCTGGCTGAGCCACGTTCAAAGCCATTATCAATACTTGATATACGCAAACTTAATAACACACACATCAACTGAATTATGTATTAATGCGCTGAGAAATTAAAAAAATGTTTTTGTATGGATCGTGAAATGTAGTACTGATATGTGGGGCCAGTCATCAGCATGTATAAGAAGCAAATAGCCTAAAACTGTATTGAATAAATCCTACGCAAGAACCTGGTTTTGTTTAAAGAGAGGGGCTGAAATGTAATCTGTCGATAATTATACAACCAAAAACTAAAAAGTTGATCAAATGACTGGAGTATACAGTGATGGCGTCTGGAAAGTTCTATATTAGAAGTTCTCAAGTTGTATTTATCACTCATTACCAGACCAAGTTAAAACAAATATAGATGCCATTAGTAGGTCTACGTTTGGCACAGTGTACTTCAGTAGCTCTCGGAAGCCGACACCGACCACCACACTATTCTCTTTGCACATGCATGTGCGATTTCCTCACACTGCTGTGCATCACACTTTCTCTCAGAGAACATGGACAAATAGTTGCTTGTGAATGCTGTTTTTCAATAAAGTTCACTGCTGCTATGCTGCTCTCAAAACGTGCTCCAGAACACGACTGATTTTTATTTTTTAACACTTTATTTTTCAGCAGGCCTGTCTAGTGGATCCAGCTGTCTATTGTGCCCCAATTCAATACAATCTAATTCAATCCAATTCAATAACATTCCTGAACTTGGAAAATAAACTCAATTATTGAAAAAGGATTGTTTATAGAAAGTAAAATTTTTGAATGAGTTAACTTCAACTGAGAGTACTGGTCGAACAATCATTTATCTGTTAACAGCTGATCAGTTACTCATTTACATCCCCAGCTTTCATTGTGAAGAACGCACGTTCCTCCATACCTCCCTCCCCACAAAGTCACTGAAGCTTTTCTCTGTGTGTTTTTGAAGCCAGAGACTGTTAGACTGCCTCAATAAGCTTGGACAAAGGCACAAAACGCTAAACGGTACTGTTCAGCCAATGGCACTTCACTGCTTCATAGGCAGTGTTTATACAAGTACATCAGTGAAAAGAAGACTATCAGAGCCCTCTCCTTTGCTCTAACATGATTTTAAAAAGTCTTTCATTTCCAGCCATGCTTAATTTATAAACTATAGAATGGACAAAAAAAGCAGTTTTGCCTGACACAGGTTTCTATATAATCTCGCTCCTGATTGTCTTTTTAGAAAGCGCTAAGAAGTGCCTCTCTTCAGCCTTCTCCTTTTCAGTATATCTTTCCATCCTTAAGTGAAAGAGCAGGCTGCTGGCCATGTTACACCCTCTCCTGGCAATTACCACCTTTGACACCAACCTATAACCCAGAGTCATAACAACAGATCACACTGCAAGGTCTGACCTTTACTACTGGTCATGTCAAACCCCCCTGAGGCCGCGTTACCCCATGTGGCTCTCTCTGTATCAGCCCTCCAACAGACATGCCCCTTTGCTCCCAATCAAACTATGACACTGAACAATTACGACATGTCATCACATAATGTCACACTGTCAAAAGTGGCAGTCATGATTGAACATCTTCAACGAAGAAATCTGAACTTAAAGGTACATGTCTGAATGCTGTGAAATGTGTTTCTAAGGCTATAAGGTCCATGTTTATATACATTTTAAATGGTTATTCTCCTTTGACCCTTAACAAGCACTCAGCATATGTGGAACTTCTTTAAGTCTGCTGGACAAGCTTTCTCATTCTGCTAGAAAGACCGCCAACATTGTGCAAAGCTGTCAGTGAAGAATCAAAACTATAATTGTTTAGAATTGTTTTGAACAGTTAACAATTTGTGGTGTTACTCCACAGTTTTTGTTGTTATCCTAAACGTAGGGCTGGGTGATTTGACCAAAAAGGTTATGAAACATTATAAAACATTTAATGTTAATAAACATTATTTTGTTGTTGAAGAAACCAGACAGTTAATTGTGGTTTTAAATGTTGAGAACATGAGAAACTCTCGTCAAACAAAGGAACATTTTGCAAATCTGTGATGGAATAGTGGAAAAAATTTGCCCAGGTTAGCTAATTTTTTCCAGCTGGTTAAAGCAGCGCTCTCATACACACTGCATGGCCTCAATTTCTGTAATATTCAAATTTAAAAAGAAAACAGATCACAAGCGCTAAACTTAACAACGTTGGCTTGGTGCAAACAGCAAACATTAGCTGGCTCGGTACGTCAATGATGGCTCACACAGTCTTATTTATATCACAGAGACCATCCTTCATTTATTTAATTTCCAGTCAAAAGGGCCATTAAGAACAGGTTTTTTATTTTTCAGGAGATATTTCTGAGATTAGATACAACAATCCACTTGCATAAGGAGTGGACTGACCACCTCAGAGTCTAGACCTCAGTATCACTGAACGTGTTTGGGATTACTGGATCATGAGAGGCAGAAAATGCAACCAACTTCTAAGACTGAACTTTGGAGGTGGGGAAAAATATCCCCGCAGATTTCTTTTGCAAAACTGAAAGCAAGTCTCCTGAAAAAATGGAAGCTGTAACAAAGGCATGGACACAAAATAATAAAAATTAAAATAAAAATTAAGGGTGGTCTCTAACTGAGGACTGTATGTGTGTACATTTGTGTGTATTTGCATTGGTTGGCAGAGCGAGACATGAGGTGACTGTTGCCAGTCTTTGGGATGGGAAGGTGTTTTGGCTATGTGTATGAAGGATCTTTGACTTGGCGTGCTTGTATTTGCAGATGGTTCATGGGGACCTGGAGAAGACTTGAATAATCCTAAAATTACCCTCTCTATTGGATCTGTGGTTGAACATCTGTAGCCTGTTAGTCTGTTCCAATTCTGGGTCTATTTCTCTGTAAACTTCCTCTGTTTATTCCTTTTCAAAGCCATTCTTCATTAGGCTCTTCATTCCTTAAGTAACGTCAGAGTAATGACCACGCTTATGACATGTAATCAGCCAGGAGAGGAGGTAGTTGTTAGTGGTCCACACACTTTGAGAGTTAATATACACATTCTGAGAGTTACATACTAACTCAGCAAAGATTCTTAGATATGGACCTTGGAATCTAATCCCTGTTTACTTAGTCTTTTGCCAGATTTTATCATATGAGGTTCTGTTCTTATATTACAAGTTTGTTGGAGGTAAAATCTGTCGTACCTGCTGTTTAAGCTGCTGCACCAGTCTGTCCTTCTCCCTCTTCAGCAGAGCCACTTCATCCTGAGTCTTCTTCTTTTTGGAGGAGGACAGTTCCAGCAGTGCTATGTTGGCGTCCTTCTCGCTGATGGCTGCTAGTAGCGCCTCCTGCCTGTATGGAGGACAAAGAGCAAATGAACTTTATCAGTATTTGATAAAGGTCAGTCCACTAGGTCAGTTAAATAGTTTTATGGATCAGAAATGGATGTCTGAAGTGGTCATTTTAAATAATACACATTTAACAGAGACCAGTCATGGTATCTAATAGTCTTGCTCACTTTCCCAGCCTTCTAAATAAAGGTTCAGGACAAAACTGATGACATTTTGGGTATTGGCACTACACAGGCATGGCCATGGCCCCCTCATCTCCTGTAAGTCATTTAGCACTGCTAGTTGAGTAAGGATTTACATTTTCCATGGAATTAGTGTCTTTGCTCTGAGTCAGTCAATATGCCAACGTATTCAAGAAGAAAAGTCACATCGCTGAAAGACTGTGAAAGAGGTACCAGTTAAAAAAACTCCAGCTGCTATAAACAAACTGAACTACAACAAAACACATCACTTATTCTGAGAAACATCAGCGTATGTTCAAGATACTTCACGGGAGAAGATTTCAAGAAGGATTAAAAGGTTGGATTAGCATCAAATCCTGTGGATACTCATCAGAAACAGGAAACCAGAGCTTATGTAGAGTGCAGTAACTGAGCTAACCCCGCTTTAGCTGCTAGAAAGACCAAAGACTGTATGCTTGACAATATTACAAAACTTTTGGCTCAGCTTGGCAAAGTTACCTAAAAATACTGAGGTAAATTTGATTTGAAGCTGCCTTCATAGACCTCATTGTGTGTTTCCCTCTAGTACTGCAGGTACAGTAACTCTCAATCACATCCAATTAGAATTTGGGCTAAACAGTAGATCATTTTATGGTCACGTCAAACTGCTAGACACTGCCATCCAAAAAAAAAATAAAAAAATAAAAATACATATATATATATATATATAGTCTGCTCCAAGTACTACTACTGTGGCTAGTTTTGCATTCATGGTTGATAAGACTGCCTTTTCTCTTGCAAGTTTTAAGGAGATGTGTAAGCAGATTGCAATGGATACTGTTTCTATTACATTTGAGCGAGTGGGTCTGTGTGAGTGTGACAGGGACGATGGACAGGAGTCTATAGACCATGCGTGTCATGCCACTGCTGTGATTCTTGGAAGCTGAGTCCTCTCTCAAGTCGATACAAGACCAAAGACATCACTGGTCTGGATGCTCCTCGTTTTTTTTTCTCTGAAATAGCTTTGAAAAAGGTGGTTTTTCTCATCTCTGGTGTGATACAGTACTTTCTGGCATAAAAAAACAGCCAAAGATGACTGTTCCCCTCTAATTTAGCGCAATTGTTAAAAAAGATGGAAAAGCATGGTACCAATTACTATAGCAGTGTTGGTCCCTTTCCACTGATGGATGGGTACAGGGTCGCTGACAGTAACAGATGGGCTACAGTCAGTAATTGTATGTGCAATTGCAGTTGTACCAGATTAAAAAAGCTGTGAGTATAGATATAAGGTAGGTGTGCCTAATAAAGTGTACATAATAAGGTTTATAATCCTTCCAAGCCATTTGACAGAGTGTGTCCAAAGAACTCTCAATGCTGTTCACAACACATCTACATCTGTAGGCACCCTAATCCTGCGTGGGCTCTGCTGGGTCGGGTTCAGCCACAGAGAGAATGTGCTGCTCACTCTCACTGGAAGCAGAGATGGAAAAAAAGAGCGAGTGTGTGTCCTGTCTGATAGCGGAGGCCGCGGAACTTGCGAAGCGGTGGCCGCTATGATGAGTTCCAGAGCATCAGTGGTGAGGAAGAGACGATGCTGACAGCTCAGTGTGTGTCCAGCACATCCTCCCTCTGCCTCTCGTGCTTTTCTATCACTGCCCGATTCTTTTATGGCTTTCCCATTCCACTTCTCTTCGCTGGCTTTTTCCCTCCACAGTTTTTATTGCTCTCCAATTTTTAACTGGAAGCAAGTTTCCCTCGCCTCTTCCTAGCTTTCAGTACATGTGATGTGTAATTTGCTTTCCTTTCTCAAGCACATTGTCACCACCAAATATTTAAAGGAATACTCCAGCGTTTCTCAAGCTAATCTCTATCTGCTGTGTCTGTCGTATACAGTGGATAACCACAATTTCAAAATGTTTATCTTTATACTTGGTCAAAAAACAGTGAACGCCCTGACTTGCAATAAACTAGAAGTCAATGGGCAGGTGCTGAGGTGCTATTTAGTAATTTTGCTCTTGTGCTAACTACTAGTTTGCCACTGTATTGACTGAGAGAGCTGCCAAAAGTGTCTCCCGTGGTTCAGGGGCTGGTCATTTAAGCGATGCTACACTGCTGCGATGTGATGGATAGACTGTTTCTGTTAAGTTTGAATGAACTGAGAGATGGACCTGCTGGTAGAGCAATGCTACACCGCAGCTACAGCCATTTAAAATCTCCGAGGCCACTTGGGTCGGATGCTTGAGCAACACTACACAGCAGCTACAAGGCTACCTGGGCCTTGAACATTCCAGGCCAGCCAAGTAACTCTGTGCCCTGATCTGTGGAGCTTTCCCTCTGCCAGCTGCAGAGTTTTGCGAGGTTGTGTGTTGTGACTTGTTTGTTTATTGTTGATTATGTATTCTGCTACCTCTGTAAAGCATCCATGGGTTTGAGAAAGCTGCTACATAAACTTATTATGTTTATAAATGCCTCCAAGTTATTATCTGAGGTGCAACACAGATGCAGGAGCTGAAGTTTAGGTTGAAAATGCTGGCTTATTCCTTTAAGACAATCAGAGGACTAAGCTGACCTGATTCTATCCAGAGTGACATCACAGCAGAGGAGAGAAGCATCTGTGCCTGACAACTCAGGAATACAACGTGCCTCTTCCAGCTTAATCAACACATGAGCACTCGCACACACAGAGAGTCACCTGGGATTCACGGACACACACGGCAATACTGAGTGTCATGTAGGTTCCCCTCTCAGACCACGCTGATTAATTATGACTTGTTAATGCACTGCAAACAAACAAGAGACACAGAGGATCTATTCTCTCATAAGCTTACGAATATATTTACACAAATCACCCTTTGCAGGACAGGAGGCCTTATTAATCATACATCTGTTTGAGTTCACTGGATTCGACCATCAAACGAGGTGAAAACGTGGTGCCGTGTACACACAGAGGCCACCCAGTACCGCGTAAACCACCGTGCTCCAGCGTAAACTAATAAATGAGCTTTGGGGGGTTTCCAGCAGGCTCCTCACTGCTAACACGTTCTGTCAGAATGGCCTTTTAATACACTGACCTGCTGACTAGCAGCACTCATTATGGTCAGCTTCAGACCACAGGCACCAGCTGGTCCTGAGGTGAGCCAGTTTACTCTGGGCAAACGGAGCTCTGGTCCTGCTCTACAACATCCCTGTGTAGTCATGATGTGCATTCTGTAGCTGGCTCTGCCAAACATATCACCGTTTTCACAACCTCATATCTCTAAAATGGTAACTTTTTACATTTTATGGTTTTATGAGTTAATGAGAACTTATTCCAAGCAATTCTGGACCATTTCCATTTCCATTTGTCATAAAATGTTCACACATTGTAAAGGGTAGCTGGCGTTTTTAGAGTGAAAAGTACAATTTATTTCCACCACTGTCCCGGTCATTACATTTACAAATATGTATGTAATGTAAAGGTAAATGCATTTTAAATACAGGTGAAGTGTCCTTCAACAAAGTACGTTTATGTTTCTGACAACCTTAAAATGTTGATAAGATCTTAATTAATAAATATCTAGAGCACTACAACATTTTTGCCTGGCCCACTACAACCCCTTAACCATGAAACATAATTTTAAAATCTCATTAGTTTTGCATTGTGTGAATCCATGCTTAAAACAACCTTTTTCATGAGTCATCCATTAATGTTTAGGGAAAATGTACATTCTAGTTGAGTCCCACGGTGCTCACTCAACCACGTTGACTGGTGGGTGGTTAAGGGTGGGCAAGTGAGAATATAAGAATATATATATAAATTTTTTTTTTAAATGCATATCTTTTCAATTTTTAGCCCTTTTTATTACTTTTTTCCTGAAACAGAATTTCAAAAATAGTATTTTAAGTAAATCATTAAAATATCAATGTTTATCTATGATTGCTGAAACATTTCCTTGAGTTTGTTTGTTTGTTTATTTATTTTTATGATACAGAGCCTTGTACTGCACTGGATTAGGTCAGGTCATGAATGTAGTACTGACACAGTTGGGGTGGGAAGGGGAGGGTAAAGGGCGCCATGTTGTTGTAATAATACAAATATATGTAGTTTTGTATTAATCTAAGATAAACATCAATAAAACCTGTAAATCACAAAAAGAATATCAATGTTTTCATTTTGTGTATTTGTGAACTCTATGCTATAAAACTCAACCCTGTTATTTCAGTCATATTAAGAGCCTCATTTAAGCTACTATCAGCACAGAAGTCTTGTAAAAAGTTTGTTGATATTGTTTCCAAGACCGGTTAACACACTTCTATATATATTGGTTCGTACATTTATTAATATTATTTACTATAATATCTTTGACAAATGATAATTGGCACCCCAATTATTGAATCACCCATGACAGCAATGACATGAGGAGTAGAAGCTAGCGAGGGGAAGCGAAACAATTCATACACTGAACACAGGAGGGGAACACAGGGAAGGAAGAATGATGAGCTTAAAACTCTCTAATCTATCCCTTACTCCCCTCTTTCTATCTCTCTCTCATCTCACCTTCCTCGTACACAAGCGCTTCAGTAAGGCTCCAAACAAGACTTTCTCTCTTTCTCTGTGTGCTATCTGAGGGAGAGGATAATGAGGAGCTGTGAGGACAGTGTGGCAGATTTACGGTGACTGCGTGATGGGGACACACAGCAGTGTGTCAGTGCTAACCCAGTGCTAATGTGTTAGCGCTCGGGAGATGTGAGTGATAGAGTCGAGTAGCTTCACAGAGTCACACCACACTACACCCACACACACATTCTGAGGCTACAATAACATGCACTCCACCACATTTGTCAAGTTCAGGAAGTGAGA